CTTTCCTGGGAAAAATTAGGGAATCCCTGTAAACATACATTCATACATCTAATCCCTCAATTTCATGGGAACAAATGTTTGCTACAAATAGACTTTGAACATGCACATATTAGACATTCACTATTTGCATTTTTGTAATAGCAAGACTTACATAAGCACCCATGTCACTTAGAGAAAGTATGGATCATAAAATAGACTACTATGCAACCCCAAAATAAGGTAAATCTATATTGAAATAATACAGATTTGCTTTTTTTTTTTTGAGAGGTTTTTGCTATAGGGTGCGTGCGCTCACCAGACAGACAGAGAGAGACAGAGAGACAGAAAGCGAGAAATCACCCCCCGGGGGGATGGCCATGCTGCAATCCCTTCTCCTCCGTTCTCCTCTCGGGATCTTGGGCATGCACACACACGCGCCAAGCCTGTTTTAAGCCACCGGGTCCGGGACGCGAACCGCGGTCGATTACGTGGGAGTCCAGCGACATAGCCATTACGCTAACTGCTGGTCCCCACAAATTTACTTTTAAGGAGCACAGTACATGGACCAGCAGGTAGCGTAGTGGTTATGTCACTGGACTCCCATGTAATCAACTACTGTTTGAATCTCGGACCTGGTGACTTAAAACTCATGAATGTCCCTAGGGGCTGATTTCTCATTTTCCTTCTTTCTCCCCCCACCCCCAATGAGCGGAAATGCCCTATAGAAGTGTCAATTGTCAGGTTTCAGAAACAAATATAAGAATTTGATGTTTTGAGACTCTTAACTCTTTGGCTTATAATTGGAGGCCAAGTTCAAAAGCAGACCAAGTCCAAGTTTTAGCTTTGCCAGTGTCTGCTTCACAGCATAAGTTACATCATCCTGGTGCTCCTTCGGCCTCACCTGGTGTCCAGAATGAAGCGGACAAGGACTGGAGACTCCGAGCCTCCTTCTAACTGGTGTACAAGCACAAAGCTCACTGACATCTGTCGCACTCCTGCCTTCATTCCGGTTCTCCACACCCAGGGCACCCATCTACATGATCATGAACACCATCTACAAGTATTCTTTAAAAAATGAAAACGGGGACCAGCAGGTGGCATGGTGGTTAAAGGCACTGGACTCCCACATGGTCGACCGTGGTTCAGGTCCTGGACCGGGCGGCTTGCTTTCTCACTTTCCCTTTCTCTCTCACTCTGTTCCTCTCTGGCCAAATTAAAATAAATAAATAAATAATTTAAAAATAAAAATATACTAGGTAAATTCTTTTATTATTTCAAACAGATGTTTTTCACATTAAAAGCCAAAGTTTTCATTTTTAACCCCACTGGTTTTGAGTCTATGAAAGCTCTGAACCCTTGACTTAGCCTTGCTGAGCTGAAATATCCCATCTTTATCAGCCAAGTCAGGCTAACTGAAGTATAACACACATACGGCTGGCATACTTAGATTAATAGACAGGTTAAAATATTTATGAACCCTCGCCGAAAAATATCCAGTGAAGTATCTGGCTTGCTGAGCAGCTTACAGGGATAAGAGCTACGGCCACAGGGACGACTGCACCTGCTGCCCGTGGTTCATGACCTCAGGCGCATGCAGTTCCCTAGCCTCTGCGACATGCTACTACGTACGGCTTTATTACCAAGCCAACAGCGGGTCCTTAAGGATGCGTGGATCAGAATCCCACTTGGAAAAAGACCCGTCCCTCTTACTTAATTATTTTAGCTGAATAAATATGTTTGCACAATCAAATATGAAATACGTCTTGACCACCAAGTTACTGCTATGACGAGCCACAAAGTAAATCCTCAGATGGGCAGAGACAACGGCAAGTAAGGAGCTAGCACTGCTACTGCTGCCTTTTTTTAGAGGTTTCTGCCATAGGGCGCGTGCGCTTGCCAGAAACACAGACAGTGAGAGGGAAAGTGAAAAATCATCCATTGAGGGGGTGGCCACACTGCAATCCTGCCTCCTCCAATCTCCTCCTGGGATCTTGGGCATACATCCACATATGTCCAGTGTGATTTTCAAGCCACTGGGTCCAGGACTTCAACTGTGGTCGGCCATGTGGGAGTTCAGCAATGTAACCATTGTGCCATCTGTTGGCCTCAAGAGCTAGCTAGCTATTGCTTTCTTTCTTTCTTTAAAGAAAGACTTTTTGCTATAGAGCACGTGCGTTCGCCAGAAAGAGAGAGACAGAAAGCAAGAAATCACCCCATGGGGAGATGGCCACATCGCAATCCATTCTCCTCTCAGGATTTTTGGGAATGCATGCACACATGCTCAGTGCTGAGGTTTAAGCTGCTGGGTCTGGGACTCGAACCGCAATCAACCAGGTGGGAGTTCAGTGACGTAACCATTAAGCCAGAGCTAGTTTCTTAATGAGTCCTGTCGGGGACATGTGAATACCAGCACAGTAAGCAATTACCCACTGGCCATTCTGAAAGGCACTGCCCATTGCTACAACAGCTTCCAAGTAACTTTTGATGAAAAGAGCAATCATACTGGTTTATATCTAATAATAAAAGATATCTACACCTTCTCAAAACATACTTCCTAGACCTAAAGCCTATTTCAAGAACTAAAAGAATACTCCAAAAACTAGACCCAATACAAAGGATTTTCGATCATTCCATCTGATTGATTATTCTGTTACTCTCTAAGACTCCTCTAAGACATTCCTTTACAGAATTCCCAAGACATACTGGATGTACCTGAGAAACCAGGAATGTGGCTGGCTGTGGTGGGTGGGAAAACGGCCCTCTTATTTAAGATGGAGGTGAGGGATAAGTGTGTTTTTTTGGCGGGGCTGGGGTGGGACTGTTGAGAGGAGACAAAGGAAGAGGTGACTCAATAATCACCAGCTACTCTGCACACGCTAATGTGACGAGAAGAGAAAGACTGTTCTCACTGGTAGGAGTTGAGGACACAGGTCCCCTCAGCTTCCAACAATAACACAGCACACTTCCACACGTGCCAAGAGATGTTCTGAACTCTGTAAGTGTTGACAGCTAAAAAAAAATGAAGTTGACAAATATAGAAGAGGCCAGAACCTCATTTTACTCAAGGTTTTCTGTAAAGCAATGTAACTGCTGCCTTTAGGTTAAGAGGTGAGTGTTGTACTAGCTCTTGATCCAAGTATACAAATATATATAAAACTTACAGAAAAATAAGAACTAGAGGAAGAAACAGACACAAGAAGTCTGAAACACTGCTTCACACAGAAATATAGCAGGACCGTGTTTGAAAATCCTGTGAGGTTGTACCAAAACACCCCCTAAGAACACACCATGACAATGGTCTATATTTTGAAAACATCATTCGCTAATCAACTAAGGCAAGAAAATGAAGCAGAGTCCCTTCCTCACACATGGCCCCTCCCGATCCAGATCTCTGGTTTCTTTAGACCATTCTGGGTCTAGTCTAGAGACAAGAAATGGAAGATGCTAGAAAGTGGTGCTAGCCCCAATTACTTCCATGTCACCTTTACATACAGCTCACAGGACAGAGTGGATAAAACCGTTCAGGGCAGACATGGGAGTGCGGTTCACTCTGAGGGTGCCACTCCTCGGTCAGCTGGGTTTACCTGAATAGCTGCGAACGCCAGTGCCGCCCAGATCACGTGCATCATGATTTCTTGTAGCTTCTTCACGACGAGAGCCTCGCACCCCTGTAACACACATCAACCTCGTTACAGGTCTCTTCCAAAAGGGAAGGGCACAGAGTTGCACAGAGCTGTCTTGGCAGAGTTGCATGGGGCAGAAAGTAAAAGAAGAAAGAGTACTTCACTCGGGCAATTTACAAACACACAAGGGGACTTAGAGAAGTTCATGAAAAGGTAAAATTAAAACAGTTTAGTTTTGGTACCAGCAGGTGGCATGGTGGTTAAGGCACTGGACACTCCCACATGGTCAACCACAGTTCGAGTCCTGGACCTGATGGCTTCCTTTCTCACTTTCCCTCTCTCGTTCTCTTTGTCTCTCTGTGGCCAAATTAAAATAAATGAATGAATAGATCAAATTAAATAATTCTTTTTAAAAAATAGTTTTGCTGCAAAGAAAATTTAAAATCATGCAGTTTTGTCCTAATATAATTTTCCCATGAACTTCTGAAGACTTCTCATATAATTAAGGCACATGATAAGGCTTTTTTCTTTTTTTAGGGATTTTTGAAACAGAGTGCGTGTGCCCGCCACACAGAGACAGAGAGACAGAAAGCGAGAAGTCACCCCCCAGGGGGGATGGCCACACCACAATCTCTTATCTTCCATTCTCCTCTTGGGATGTTGGGCACACACACACATGTGCCCAGTGTTAAGCTGCCAGGTCGAGGACTCCAACTGTGGTCGACTACATGGGATTCCAGTGACATAACCACTATACCATGTGCCAGTCTCCAAGACAAGGCATTCTAATATAATTTACAGAAAAACAAAATGGCATTGGGGTTAAAGACAGGCAAAGAAGTCCCACATAGCAATTACACACAAAGAAAAACATATTTTCAGCCATGTAAGTCTTGGCCAAGAGACTCACCTCAGCGTAGAGGTCGGCAGGGTGGGCCAGGCTGCCATTACAGCTGCTGGCGGTCTCTCTGCAGCAGCTGAGAGGGACACTCTGGTTTTTGGTTTCTTTGAACCAATCTGTATTTTCCCAGTCTGAGTAATTGTGAATTCCACAACAGCGTAGCTAGAAGAGATAAGAAATTGCTCTTTACAAAACACAAAAGGCTGGGTTGAACTTCCAAATTCCATGCACTACAACACCTTTAAATGAGCTATTTTAGTCTAGTGGCATGCCCATCAGAACTCTGTGCAAAGACAGGAATATTCTGTCTACATGGTCCAACATGGTAGCCACCAGTCACAGGAGGCTACACTGAACACTTCAAATGTGGCTGGTGTGACTAAGGAACTGATTTTTTGAAAAATTTTTGCCCAAGGGACGCGCTCTTGTGGGGATGGGAGAGCACACCATGGATTCTGGTAACTTTGCAATACATTCTCCTTCAATTCTCCCTCCTTTTTGAGATTTCGGGTGCACACCCACACACACAATTTCTTAGGCCACCAGATTCGGGACTCAAACTGCAAAGTCGGTCATGTGGGATCCAGTCGCCTTAAACCACCACACTACTGGCTGGCCCAAAAGTGAATTTTTTTTAAGGTATTTGCCACAGTGCACATGTACTCACCAGAGAGAGACGGTGAGAAAGCAAGCTGCCAGATCTGGGACTCAAACCTCAGTCTGTCATATGGGAATCCAGCACCCTTAACCACCACGCCACCTGCTGGCCCCCAATCTTGTTTTCTAAAGATACATAGAGACCGCTCCTGCCCAGAATCATCTGTCCTCTCACCTTTCTGGGGACCTGTGCCTCTCTGCCACCAGCACCTCTCTAATTACTTAGGGGAGATGTGGGTGAGTAACAGCTTGACATGCTGCTGACCTAGCTCTGACTGATGAGGGTGATGGCTGGGCAAAAACACTGGACACCTCAGGAAGCTACCTATGGCCATGATGGCACCTGGTTAATGGACATAGGAACAACAGTAGTTGCCCAAGGGTGATTGGTCCTGAAAGTCAAATCTGCTTCATGGGGCCAACAGTTAGCATAATGGCTATGTCACTGAACTCCCATGTAGTCAACCGCGGTTTGAGTCCTGGACCCGGTGGCTTAAACTCACGCCAGGTACGTGTGCGTGCATGGCCAAGATCCCAAGAGGAGAATGGAGAAGGGATTGCAGTGTGCCCCCAAATCAACCTGCTTCAGGAAAGCTCACCTGTCTCTGTACATAGTCAATAGCCCGGCTGGCAGCATCGGGGTTCGTTCCGTTGTACGTCTTATACACTTTCTGAATGCTGCGATCCACTTCGTGTTCCACCTGAATCAAAACAAAGCAGTCAGTCCCTGGAAACACTGGCAAAGCAGCACCAGCCAAGGAACCAGCTAAAATGCCTAAATGATGTGTTTGCAAGTAGCTAGATCTCTTAGACTCTTGTTAAAAAAAAAGTTTTCTCCCTTCCTGCTTCCATGTAGATTCGAATTGACAAGTAAAAATTCGGACATATCACATACAAGGGTTTTCAAAAACTCCATGAAAACTATATTATGAAAAGAACTAAGTATGGATTTTGAAATTTTTTTGCACAAACATAAGCTTGTATTTTATTCTGTTTTCCACAAACTGAAGCCACCTTGATGAAAAGCATTCAAAGACAAAAGTGTGTAAGACATCAGGCTAATTAACAATCTACTCAAGAGGGAGAGGAGGCGGGCCTTGGGGTAAATGGCCCAAGTTATGATCGTACATTCTCCTTTTTCAAGTAAGTTCTCAGAGTGCTTGCACAAGACCAACTCTCGTTTCCTTTTCTTAAAAGGGGTAAAAAGAAAACAACTTTAAAGCCTCCACAGGTATTTTTAGAACAAGTACCAACATCATTTCAGTTTTACTTCCTCGACATATACTTGGCCAAATGAGCGAAAGTAACTGGCAGGTTACAATAAATTAGCTCTTGGGAGGAATGACACTTTATGAAACAGTTGCCGTTCAATGGATGTCAAAGGAGACAGGAAAAAAACGTCAAACTTTACTGCTACCAACTCTGAATGTGGCAGTCAAGTGTCATTTAATGAAGTTTGTGCAAGATTCTTCTGACCCCTCTAAAATCTTTAGAGCTCGTTGGTCACTGTAACAGTGATGTGATGGACCACAGGTGGGACACAATCCAGACACCTGAGACTCAGCTGCATGACACTGCACGTACTCAAGGGCTGACATTAGTTTGACATACTGTGCCTCTTTCTTAAAACTATAAGTTATAACAACAACGATTCTATTATGTTTTCATATGGCTCTAAAATCACACTCAAACTAAGTAATTTAAAGCAGCCTTAAATGGTAGCCTTAAATGGTACCAAGGTGAAGAGCAAAGTGGGCAAAATAGAAAGGAAATGAAGGCAAGGGAGAAAAGACAATGGAATGACTAATAAAGAGGAAAGGGTGGCAAGCAGGGAACACAGACAACAGCTGCCTTGGTCTTCTAAGTTGGTTTAAAGTTGGCAGGACCCTTCACCCCTCAGGATGGGGGTGAAAGGGAGGACCACAACTCACATCTTTTCTATGTCCAGGACCAAGCCATGTTCTAAAACAGAAATCAGAAAATTTATATCCCCCCCACCACGCAGACACACACAGGAATCTAGGGGCTGATGTTATCTGAACAAACCTCTTAGCTGATCAACTACTAACTGGCAGCTTGTTGTGAGATAATTTAAGGAATATTAAAAGCTTAGAACCGAGAGAATTACACTCTGCTCTATCAAATGAGACTAGTTTTACATATAAATGGTTTCTTATTAACTAGATATTACAGCAGTGACTAACCTGAAATAAGGCAGAAGAAAACGCTGACTGATCTCTATTGCACTTGGAAAACTCAAACTACCTTTACAAAGAGACAGAGAAGTGGCAGCGGCATCTGCGACAGGTGTAGCTCTTGCTATCCTCTGCCTCATCCCCTAGCTAGCCAGGATCATAGGCTCGCACTACCGCACCCGGCTGGTTTGAGTTGGTCCAGAATACAATCTCAGGCTCCAGGGCCTGCCAGCCCCACCGTTATCTTGCAGCTGTCAGGCCTCAAACCACCTTTTACAGCACGATGTGATTACATACCTTTGCTCTGTAGACGTATCCCAAAACCACGACAACAACTTCTGTGACAAAAACCAAGAGGAGGATGATGACGAACTGTAAGGAAAATTGTCAAAAATTAAACACAGAGAAAAATAACTGTAATACTTTCTTGGTAAAAATAATGATTGGAAGTGCTAGAAGTTAAAGACAAGTGCTAATTCTGTTCCCATGAAAGGCGCCAAGGAATCACAGAGCTCCACACTCCATTCAGGAAGAGTCCCTGCGTAAACCTGATGCCACCTGCAGGCCTCGAGGCTGGCTCACCGTGGCAAGTCCGCAGCGACTCTCCCGGATGGTGGCGCAGCAGCCGATGAGCCCGATGATGAAGAGCAGGGCCCCCACAGCTATGATGACGACAGCGGGGATGAGAGTGTACACATCCTCGAAGAAATGGTCGTAGTCGTCATAGGTGATGAAGACGTAGGCACCCACGTAGCATAAGATGCCAGCCGCCCCCTGCAGAAAACAAGGTCAGAGACTGGTCTGTGAGCCGGGCTGGTACAACTTTCCTACTATCACTTAGTAGGTTATAACTTAATAGCAGTTCCTATCACTTTAAAGTGTGACAGACATTTTTTTTTTTGTAATAAAAGTCTATGACTCATTACTGAGAACATTTCTTTTCTAAATAAAGTTGTAAAGTTTTCCAAACTTCACCCATTTCTGAGTAACTGATGGTTCAGCTAGGACCAACAAACTATGACTTGAACAAGTAATACTGATGACAAAGCACACACACATACTCCAAAAACTTATCTGTACCTCAGCTGTACGCTGAGGACAGGTCAGTGGGGTGGTGGGGTACTTTCCCTCAGTAAATGGGGGAGTTAAGTAGAAATGATAAAGATATTAGCATAAGGACTATTTTTAATACATCTAATCACATACATATCACTTAGCTAGGATACACACTTCTAATCTAGCCACACTTTTGGGTAAAGAAAAATAATACTAGCTGGTAAGCATGACACCCATTTCCAAAAACATCTGCTGTCCTAGAGACCGTGAAATGGTAATGATTAGAAGTCTCAGTCCCTAAAGAACATTACAACCAAGTGATCTGTTTATTCTTTAGAAGGGCCCTTCTCAATGTTTTTACAAAGGTTTTTGCACAGGGTGTGTGGCAGAGAGAGACAGTGAGAAGGAAGTGAAGAGTCTTCCCCCAGGGGGATGACCATGCCTCAGTCCTTCTCTTCCATTCTCCCCCTGAGGTGTTGGGCAAGCACACACACATGCCTGGCATGATTTTCAAGTCACCAGGTCTGGGACTCTAACCACAGTCGGCCACGTGGCAGTCCATCACCTTAATTAACTTCTACGTTACCTGCTGGCTCCCTTTTCAATTTTTTTTTTTTTTTTTTTTTTTTTTTAGAGGTTTTTTGCTATAGGGCACATGTGCTCGCCAGACAGAGAGAAAGCGAGAAATCACCCCCAGGGGGGATGGCCACGTTGTAATCCCCTCTCCTCCATTCTCCTCTCAGGATCTTGGGCATGCACACAACACGCCCGGCATGAGTTTTAAGCCACCCAGTCTGGGACGCCAATGGCGGTGGACTATGTAGGAATCCAGTGACATAGCCATTACCCTAACTGCTGGTCCCAGCTCCCTTTTCAAATTTTAATGTGAACAGGAATCATCTGAGATCTTACTAATCGACCTATGCTGACTCAGGAGTCTAGGATGGGGCCTACACTGGCATTTCTTTCTCCCTCCCTTCCTTCTTTTTCTTCTTCTTCTTCTTTTTTTTTTAAAGACTTTTCCCATAAAGTGCATGCACTTACCAAAGAGAGACAGAGGGAGACAGAGAAAAATCGTCCCCAAGGGAGATGGCCAAACCATAATCCCTCCTCCTCTGCTGTCTGCACATGCACCTGGTGTAGTTTTCAAGCCACCCAGTCCAGGACTTAAACCATGGTCATCCATGTGGGGGTCCAGTGCCTTAACCACCACACCAACTATTGCCCCTCCTTTAAAGAAATTACACTAAGCTAAGGTTAATTTATTTGTTTTTATTCATTTTTGTTTATAAAGACTTTTTTGTCATAGGGCATACATGCTTGCCAGAGAGCGACAAGGAAAGCAAGAAATCACTCCCCAGGTGAGAGAGTCACTCCACAATTCCTTTTCCTCCACTCTCCTCTCACGATTTTGGGCACACATGGAATTATTTCCAAGCCACTAGGTCCAGGAGTCAAATCACACACTAGGCCACGTGGAATCTAGCTGCCCTAAGTACCACACTACCTTTCTGCCCTCTGAACTGACATTTTTGTTTTAAGAAGACATTTTTGCTATAGAGTACGTGCGCTCACCATAGAGACCAAGAGATAGATAGTGAAAAATCACCCCCATGGAGAGACGGCCACGCTGCAATCCCTCCTCCTTCATTCTCCTCTTGGGATTTTGGACATGAACGCACGTGCACCTGGCATGAGTTTTAAGTCACTGGATCCAGGACTTGAACCATGGCTGACTACGTGCAAGTCCAGCAATGTAACCATTACACTATCTGCTGGTCCCTGAACTGGCATTTCTAATGAGTTCCTTGGTGAGGCTGATGGGGTTGTTTCCTGGACCACTCAGAGTAACGAGATGTTACAGCACGGATAGGGAACTTGAGTACAGAAAGCCGCTTGGAGAGGTTTTTTGCTATAGGGCACATGTGCTCGCCAGACAGAGAGAAAGCGAGAAATCACCCCCAGGGGGGATGGCCACGTTGTAATCCCCTCTCCTCCATTCTCCTCTCAGGATCTTGGGCATGCACACAACACGCCCGGCATGAGTTTTAAGCCACCCGGTCTGGGACGCCAATGGCGGTGGACTATGTAGGAATCCAGTGACATAGCCATTACCCTAACTGCTGGTCCCAGCTCCCTTTTCAAATTTTAATGTGAACAGGAATCATCTGAGATCTTACTAATCGACCTATGCTGACTCAGGAGTCTAGGATGGGGCCTACACTGGCATTTCTTTCTCCCTCCCTTCCTTCTTTTTCTTCTTCTTCTTCTTTTTTTTTTAAAGACTTTTCCCATAAAGTGCATGCACTTACCAAAGAGAGACAGAGGGAGACAGAGAAAAATCGTCCCCAAGGGAGATGGCCAAACCATAATCCCTCCTCCTCTGCTGTCTGCACATGCACCTGGTGTAGTTTTCAAGCCACCCAGTCCAGGACTTAAACCATGGTCATCCATGTGGGGGTCCAGTGCCTTAACCACCACACCAACTATTGCCCCTCCTTTAAAGAAATTACACTAAGCTAAGGTTAATTTATTTGTTTTTATTCATTTTTGTTTATAAAGACTTTTTTGTCATAGGGCATACATGCTTGCCAGAGAGCGACAAGGAAAGCAAGAAATCACTCCCCAGGTGAGAGAGTCACTCCACAATTCCTTTTCCTCCACTCTCCTCTCACGATTTTGGGCACACATGGAATTATTTCCAAGCCACTAGGTCCAGGAGTCAAATCACACACTAGGCCACGTGGAATCTAGCTGCCCTAAGTACCACACTACCTTTCTGCCCTCTGAACTGACATTTTTGTTTTAAGAAGACATTTTTGCTATAGAGTACGTGCGCTCACCATAGAGACCAAGAGATAGATAGTGAAAAATCACCCCCATGGAGAGACGGCCACGCTGCAATCCCTCCTCCTTCATTCTCCTCTTGGGATTTTGGACATGAACGCACGTGCACCTGGCATGAGTTTTAAGTCACTGGATCCAGGACTTGAACCATGGCTGACTACGTGCAAGTCCAGCAATGTAACCATTACACTATCTGCTGGTCCCTGAACTGGCATTTCTAATGAGTTCCTTGGTGAGGCTGATGGGGTTGTTTCCTGGACCACTCAGAGTAACGAGATGTTACAGCACGGATAGGGAACTTGAGTACAGAAAGCCGCGTAACAGAGATGCCTTATTTCAGCAGCTGCTCTGGGCGCCCTTCTCCAAGAACGTGGCAGAGTTTTGCTCTTCTCCATCACTGTCAAATTTTGCTATCACTAGGTACTAGCTCTTTGCTGACAGCCTGATGCCACTTGTTTTTCCACAAATGAGCAAAAGGCAGTGTCAAGCTAAGTGTTAAAGCATCTGCTCTCATGAGTTACTCGTAAGGCACTTTGAGACCATCATAGGAAAGAATGATTTCACCATGTTTCAAAAGTTAACACATCATTTTTAAGCTAGAACACAGCCTTCACTATGATAATGAAAATATCATTAACTCCTCTGAATCCAAAAACTCAGTTCATTTCTTTCTCTTAAGAGTTATTGTATTTAGCTTTATTTACTTATTTAATTTGACCAGAGAGGGACAGAGTGAGTGAGTGAAAGAGGGAGAGCGAGGGAAAGTGGAAGAGCGAGCCACCACGGTCGGCCACGTGGGAGTCCAGCGTCCTTAACCACACTGAATGCCACCCGCCGCCTCCCTCAGTGCACTTCCTAACCCTGTATAACCCAGTCAGCGTGCAAAGCATCAGTCCCTTTTCTTACACTAGGCCGTAAGAATCACAGTCAGATTTGGAAGAAAAAAAGCTCCATTCATATGAGGTTGGAAAACTGATTTGATTTTTTTCATAGTGTGTACTTCTCTGTTGACACTTACTTGATTCCTGAGAGTGAGAGCAGCACACCGTGGACAGAGTTCTGACACAACGATCTCCTCCTCAGCCCTGCAGCCAGTCGGGATCACAGGCTGGTGTGCCCATGGGTATGCCCAGTGTTGAGGCAGACCTGGGAGACCAACCAGAGCCTTCCCACGTGGTCTCCAGCGCCACTGTGGCTGGGCCAATGTGGATTTTACAATAAGACAACTACTAGACCGTCGGAAATGTCCTGACGTGTTTTTTTCTATGTAAAAATGTGTCATGACTTTTCTTATGACCTAATAGAATAATGGAGGCAATTTCCAAAAACATTTTTTCTTTTTTTTTTAATTTTTGGAGAGATTTTCACTATAGGGCGCGTGTGCTCGCCAGACAGACAGAGACAGACATAGAGACAGAAAGCGAGAAATCCCCCCCCAGGGAGGATGGCCACGCCACAATCTCTTCTCCTCCATTCTCCTCTCGGGATCTTGGGCACACCGGGTCCGGGACGCAAACCGCGGTCGACTATGTGGGAGTCCAGCGACATAGCCATTACGCTAACTGCTGGTTCCCCCAAAACATTTCTTTATAAACTCTCCTCCTCTGGCTTCCAAGACCCCCCAGTGCTGGTTTCCTTCCTGCCTCCCTAACTGCTCACTTTCTCATCCTCTTCATGGACTCTTCATTATAGAACTACGTCAGTGATCTCCAGGGATCTACCTTCAGCGGCATGCTTCACTCTTGCTCTAGTCTCTCCTTGGCCATGGTAGCCATCACTTCACTAATCTCCCCGTGTATCCGCAGCACAGCAAGGCCCCAGATGTCTAATACTTTTGGTCAACACCTGAGGTTACTCCATACCCTTGCCCACCTCTATACT